ACTGATTAAGCTTTCATTTTTCAGATGGTAAATGTGCTAAATGGATGGTATCAAAGCAGAACACTTCAATAGATCTAAGTTTACCTTTCATACACAAAATGTAATGATCAGAGTCTAAAAATATGGAATCCTATTCCATCAACTCATCAAGAACCTAACGAATGTCAAGGGCAAAAACCAGTTGCATTAAAATTCTATAGATCTGTGCCCTAGAACGCGGCCTACTAAACCCTCAGGCAAACATTTACATGGTTGTAAAATCAATGGACAAGGGGAGTCATGGGGTGAGTGTTCAACAGAGTAAGCAGCTATGCTTCAAGAAGGAAAATCTTCTCCACCTAACTGTGCAGTGATGACAGCAACATCCAAGCGCTCAATAGTGGGAAGATAAGTAAAGCGGAAGCCTGGAATTCTGGCAAGTTAGCTGTGCAGCTGATTCCAACCAAAAAGTTTGCGAAATGGCAATAAATACACAAGAACTTACCAAATAGAAAACCAGTTCTTCATTTGCAAGAGCAGCAGTAAACTCATTTTTTACCATTTCCTTTTTTATGAAAGCTTGAAACTGCAGCAAAAAGATAAGAAAGAAAATTCATTACCTCAAAAATCAAAAGTAAAGGGTTATTGTCTTCCGTGGACATGGTTTAGCCTAGCCAATGAAATACATGGAGAGGACATAATGAGTTGTATAGGTAACAGATTTAAATAGCACCTAAGTCATCTGTCAAAAGCAGCTAAAGAAGCAGCAATCATATGAATGCATGCATTCTCCAATATCTCTATCTACACTTTTTTTTTTCCTTGTTTTGAGCCAATAGAATCCATAACTTTAGTGCTAATTAAGAGAAAAAAAAATAGTTAAGAACAAGCAGCCCCAATCTCATAGAAATTATTGCCTGAGCTCCCATAAAAAAAGGGGCAGGGCTTAGTAACCTAGATTTTGAGGGTGGAAGATGCCAAAAGCACCTCATAGAGCAGTAGAATGACTAGGTAATTCTTGGATTTCAAAGCAGGAAGACTCTGAAAGCACCTCATAGGACAGTAGAAATTATTTCAGGATAGAAAAATTAATTTAGAAAAGGCACAAGGACAAGCTTCTACAATCTTGCAGGTGTTGTACCTCAAAATCTTTTGACTCAATAATTTTGGTCATTTGAGGGGGTGACTGAAGGGTGAACAAATTTTAACACTTTTAATGAGATAAAATGCCATTTAACCTCGTCAAATTTAGGGAGAAGTCAAGGAAATACTCTGATCTAATTTTTTTACTTATGAAGACCTTCAAAAATAACATCAATCTTTTCTTAGATACGTCAAGTTCTAAAATATTCTTGTGCATGCAACAAACTAACCTCATGGTGATACTTCTTAGTGGATGAGAAAAAACTTTTAAACTGTTCCAGAGTTTGAGAGATGAATGAAGCCAGGTTAAATCCACTCCCAAATTGCCCAGGGAACCTTGGAAGATGGACCTCAGAAAGATCATTGATGAACTGTATTCACATGAAGCATTAGATTTTGTTAAGACTCAGGAGTAAGATGTATACATGGCAAAATTTCAACTTTTAATTTAAATGAAATGTTGAAGCTATCAGTTTTGATGATAAGACCAAGCTTAACTGAGATTTCAATGTGAAATTTTCAAACAAACAAGCCATAGAAAAATATCTGAAAAAAACCAATGTCAAGTTTCAATTTTACCTTCAAGAATGTGTATCACATAGAACTTTGCCTTTGTACTTCTAATGCTCTAATCTACAAGAGGAACAAAAACTTAGAAAAGATAGAGTTGAATGGCATAACCTTACTTTACAAATAACATATCACTAACATTATATCATTCAGAAGGACCATACCTTGGCAATTTCAAGTGCCTGCTCAAGATGTTGAATCTGGAACCACTGTTCTGTAACAATTTCAACCATCTAAAAGCAAGGGAAGAAAAATATTGAGAGAGAGTAAACATGTGAGGAATTCAACTCAAGATGTGTCACTTGCAACTAGTACATCAAGAAATTCAATGTTCATATGACAATTGACAATTGATAACGAGCATAAAAC